GTGGGTGGATGGGTGACTAGATGGGTGGGTGGGTGAGTGGGTGGGTGGGTGGGTGGATGGTTGGGTGGATGGGTGGATGGATGGGTGGGTGGCTAGGTGGATGGGTGGGTAGGTGGCTGGGTGACTAGATGGGTGGGTAAGTGAGTGGGTGGACGAGTGGATGGCTTCGTGGGTGGTTGATTGGGTGAGTGGGTGGATCGGTAACTGCGTGGCTGGGTGACTAGATGGGTGGGTGGATAACTCGGTGGGTGGGTGGATGGCTGGGTGGGTGGATGGCTGGGTGGGTGGATGTCTGGATGAGTGGGTGGGTGAGTGGGTGGATGGCTGGGTAGGTGGCTGAGTGGGTGACTGGGTGGATGGGTAACTGCGTGTCTGGGTGACTGGGTGGGTGGGTGGATAGCTCGGTGGGTGGGTGGGTAGATGGCTGGGTGGGAGGGTAGGTGTTTGGCTGGCTCGGTGGGTGGGTTTCTGGTTGGGTTGGTGGCTGGGTGGCTAGATGGTTGGGTGGGTGGATGGGTGGGTGGGTGGATGGCTGGGTAGGTGGGTGGCTGGGTGGGTGGCTAATTGGGTGGCTAATTGGGTGGGTGGGTGAGTGAGTAGATTGATAGATGGCTTCCTGGCTGGCCGGGCCAAGTCGGCTGGTGCCTCCCCGAGATGCCCCGGTCACCTCGATGCAGCAGGCCACGTGGTCGTTGTCCATGTCGGAGACAAAGAGCTCCTTTCTGATGGCCAGCTTGGCGACGGTGCAGCCCAGGGACCACATGTCCATGGCGCAGGTGGCCGGGTAGCCCAGAACCACCTCGGGGGCCATGTAGGGGAGGGTGCCTCCAATGCGCGACGCTGTGCGGACGACAACGACAGCATCAGGATGGGTGGGTGAGTTGGTGGATGGTTGGGTGGGTGGATGGATGGGTCGGTGACTCCCACACACATGGACAAACAACAATAACTGCCATTCGCCACTGAGTGGCTTTGATGTCACCACGACGCTTGTGCCAGGCTATGTTCATGTTGAGGTCACGTGAAGTGTCAAACGCCCGCTGACAGGAGGTCACGGGGCAGACACAGGTGCCATGGGTCGACTGACTGAGACGACTAGCTGATGCACCACCTGTGCCCCCTACTGTGCCAACCTGCTGTGCTTTATCCACCCGGCGCTCCATTGTGGTTGGAGGGCGACTGCCTCCAACTGCCCAGTAGCGTCATTCACGTACCTCCTCCACCAGTCCAGCTCCCGACAGAGGGAGTGAGCGTTCGTACATTCCACATTGCCATCCGTAGTGGCTTTTTGTTGTTTCTGGAGGAACCCAGAGGGTGAGTATTCAGTCTCCTGGCTCCGCGAAATGGGGCTTGGTCAGGAGACGTCATAGACGCCTGTCCCCCCGGGGCCTCCGGCACAAGCTTAATTATATTTTTTAAATCGTACTTTTGTGGTAGTTAATTGAAGGTGGAGGGGTTACCAGCCTCTCGCACCCATCCAGAGCCCCCATTTGGCCGGTGTTGTGGTTACAACCGCCATGAAGGGAAAGGCCAATCTAAATTGGCCCTCCCCCCATGGCACTGGGGGGTAGGCCAAGTCACAGCGTTGCCGTTCGGCACCACACACCCACACACACACACCCACCCACCCACCCAGACACACACCCACGCCCACGTAAAGGTCTGTGGGGGGAGTCACCACTCACGTTGTTGGTCCACAAAGAAGCTGAAGCCGAAGTCGGTGACTCTGACCACCCTGCTTGAATTGTTCTTCAAGAGAACATTGCCCTGGATGGTGAGCGAGCAGCAGACAAAGAGAGAGAGAGGATTAACACTACTCAGCGGGATCAAGGTGGGTGGGTGGGTGGATGGGTGAATGGGTGGTTGAGTGAATGGGTGGGTGGGTGGGTGAGTGGGTAGTTGGGTGAATGGGTGAGTGGACTGGTGGGTGGTTGGGTTGGTGGGTGGATGGGTGGATGGATGGGTGGGTGAGTGGATGGGTAGATGGGTGGATGGATGGGTGGATGGGTGGATGGGTGGGTGAGTGGATGGGTGGATGGTGGGTGGGTGGGTGGGTGGATGGGTTAATGGGTGGATGAGTGGATGGGTGAGTGGGTGGATGAGTGGGTGGGTGGATGGGTGGGTGAGTGGATGGGTGGGTGGATGGGTTTGTGGATGGGTGGTTGGCTGGGTGAGTGGATGGATTGGTCAGTGAGTGGGTGTGTGGGTGGATGGCTGCGTGGGGGTGCGTTTTTGTGAGTGTCCGTGCCCCCAGTGTGCCCCCAGCGTGCCCCCAGCATGCACCCAGCAAGCCACCAGCGTCCCCCAGCGTGTCCTCCACTCACCGGCTTGATGTCCCCGTGGACAATGCCCCGGGACTTGGTGTAGGCGAGGAAGCGGACGATGCCCCTGGCGTACGACCTCAAATCGTCCTCGTCGATGCGACACTGCCCCATATCTATGAGCACCTGATGGAGGCTCTTCCTGCGATGGGGAGACAGCGGCAGCGACGTGAGGTGACGTCAGGGTCTCGGTGGATTTCTGTGGGTGTCTGTGTGGATGTCTCTGTGGGTCTCTGTGGGTGTCTCTGTGGGTGTCTCTGTGGGTCTCTGTTGGTCTCTGTGGGTCTCTGTGGGTCTCTGTGGGTCTCTGTGGGTGTCTCTGTGGGTCTCTGTAGGTGTCTCTATGGGTGTCTCTGTGGGTCTCTGTGGGTCTCTGTGTGGTTGTCTCTGTGGGTCTCTGTGGGTCTCTGTGAGTGTCTGTGTGATTCTCTGTGGGTCTCTGTGATTCTCTATGGGTGTCTCTGTGGGTCTCTGTGTGATTGTCTCTGTGAGTTTCTGTGGGTCTTTGTGTGTCTCTGTGGGTCTCTGTGGATATCTGTGGGTGTCTCTGTACGTGTCTATGGGTCTGAGGGTCTGCGGGTGGTGATGGTGGTAGGTGGGTTGTGGTGGTGGGTCGGTGGTTGGGTGAGCGGGTTGGTCGGTGGGTAGGTGAGTGAGTGAGTCAGTGGGTGGTGGGTGAGTGAGTGGATGTGTGGTGGTGGTAGTGGTGGGTGGGTGGGTGGGTGAGTGAGTGAGTGGGTGGTGGGTGGGTGGATGAGTCGGTGGGTGGGTGGATGACTGGGTGGGTGAGTGAGTGAATGAGTGGGTGTGTGGTGGTGGTGGTGTTAGTGATGGGTGGGTGAATGAGTGAATGAGTTGGCGAGTGGTTAGATGAGTGAGTGGTTGAGTGAGTGAGTGAGTGGTGGTGGTGGTGGGTGAGTGAGTGGGTGTGTGGTGGTTGTAGTATTGGGTGGGTGAATGAGTGGGTGAGTGTGGGAATGAGTGAGTGAGTGGGTGGATGAGTGAGTGGGTGGGTGGGTGGATGAGTCGGTGAGTGGGTGAATGAATGGGTAAGTGCATGAGTGGGTGGGTGGGTGAGTGAGTGGGTGGATGAGTGGATGAGTGAGTGAGTTAGTGAATGGATGAGTGGGTGGTGGGTGGTAGTGGGTGAGTGAGTGGGTGTGTGGTGGTTGTAGTATTTGGTGGGTGAATGAGTAGGTGAGTGCGTGAATGAGTGAGTGGGTGAATGAGTGAGTGGGTGGATGAGTAGGTGAGTGGGTGGACCAATGGCTGAGTGCATGAGTAAGTTAGTGGGTGAGTGGCTGAGTGGGTGGGTGGGTGAGTGAGTGGATGAGTGGGTGGTGGGTGGGTGAGTGGGTGGATTAGTGGGTGGGTGAGTGAGTTCCTGGATTAGTGGGTGGGTGGATAAGTGGATGGGTGAGTGGGTGAGTGAGTGGGTGAGTCGGTGGGTGGATGACTGGGTGGGTGAGTGAGTGAGTGGGTGTGTGGTGGTAGTGGTGGTGGTAGTGATGGATGGGTGAATGAGTGAATGAGTTGGTGGGTGGTTGGATGAGTGAGTGGGTGGTTGAGTGAGTGAGTGGGTGGTGGTGGTGGGTAGTTGTAGTATTGGGTGGGTGGATGAGTGGGTGAGTGTGTGCATGAGTGAGTGGATGAATGAGTGGGTGGGTAGGTGGGTGGATGAGTCGGTGAGTGTGTGAATGAATGGGTGAGTGCATGAGTAAGTGAGTGACAGGGTGGGTGGGTGCATAAGTGGATGGATGGGTGAGTGTGTGGGTAAGTGGGTGTGTGGATGAGTGGGTGTCTGGGTTGGTGAATGGGAGAGTGAGTGGTTGTGTGAGATTATGCATACGTGGATGGGTGGGTGTGTGGATGGGTAAGTGGGTGTGTGGGTGGGTGAATGGGTGGGTGGGTGGATGAGTGGGTGGGTGTGTGATTATGGGAGTGGTGGCTGGGTGGGTGAATGAGTGGGTGGGTGGATGGGTGAGTGAATGAGTGAGTCAGTGGGTGGGTGAGTGGGTGTTTGGGTGAGTGAACAAGTATGTGGGTGGGTGAGTGAGTGGGTGGTTGAATGGGTGGATGAATGTGTGGATGAGTGGGTGGGTGGATGAGTGGGTGGGTGGGTGAGTGAGTGAGTGAGTGGTGGGTGGTGGTGGTGCTTGTGGTGTCCGTACTTCAATAGCTCCATTACGATGCATTTGTGTCCCCGGAAGTAAAACATATCCATGACGTTGACTACGTTGTAGTCCACGTCACTACGGACCGTCTGGAGCTCCATGGACATCCGCAGCTCCATCATCTGGTGCGCTTCGACTGTTAAGCTGTGATCGAGTGAGAGGTAGACAGAGAGACAGAGAGAGACAGACAGACACAGAAAGAGACAGAGAGAGACAAGTTCAGCACTTAACCGGTTGTGTGTTGGAGAGTAAACTCAATTGGTGGGAAGTGGGTGGTGGCAATGGGTGGTGGGGAGGTGCTGGGGGTGGTGGTGGGTGGGTAGTGATGGTGGGGAGAGGAGATGGTGGTGGTAGTGGAGGACGGTGGGTGGGGTGGTGGTGGGTGGGTGGTGGTGGTGGTGGTGAGAGGTAGTCATGGGTGGGTGGGTGGGCGGGCGGGTGGGTGGGCGGGCGGGTGGGTGGGTGTACGGTTGAGTGATGAAGAGTCACGGCAAAGTTGCAGGCAAGGACGTTCAGCCCTAGTTTGTTGCTGCTGCCGCTGCTGCTGTGACTTCACAGCCAGGAGCAGCCTCATAATCTCTGTATTGTTGTTTGTTTTTGTTCTTGGTTTGTTGACTGCACAGCTGCCCCAGGGTACCACTCACTTGGTGGGAGAGGCGAGGATCTTGAGCGCCACCAGAGTCTGCGTCTTGTGGTCGAGACACTGCACGACCACGCCCTGCCCGCCCTGCCCGATCTTCCTTCCCAGCTCAAATCGGTAGTTGAAGTGCTCGTGCATGACCTGCAGGGGGTCACCAGGGGGGGGGGGAGGTAATCAGGGTCGGGAGGGTCATGGGGAGGTCACGGGAAGGTAGTCAGGGTGGGGGTCAGGGTGAAGTTGGTCAGGGTGGGGGGTCCCGTGGATCTCTGTGGGTCTCTGTGGGTCTAGGATCTATGTGTGTCTCTGTGGGTCTCGGTGGGTCTCTAAAGGTGTCTCAGTGGATCTCTGTGGGTCTAGGTCTCTGTAGGTCTCTATGGGTCTCTATGCGTGTCTCTATGGGTGTCTATATGGGTCTCTATGGGTGTCTCTGCTGGTCTCTCTGGGTCTCTATCGGTGTCTCTTTGGATATCTGTGGGTCTCGGTCTCTGTAGGTCTCTATGGGTGCCTCTGTGGGTCTCTATAGGTGTGTATGTGTCTCCGTGAGCCTCACAGCGATTTAGTTGTGGGTCTCGATGGGTGTCTGTGGGTGTCTCTGTGGGTCTCTATGGGTGTCTTTGTATCTCTGTGAGTCTCATAGGGATGAAGCTGTGGATCTCTATGGGTGTGTCTGTGGGTCTCTATGGGTTCCTCCTGGTCTCTGTGTGTCACAGGGATGTAGTTGTGGGGCTCTATGAGTGTCTGTGTATCTGTGTGTCTCCCTGAGCCTCACAGGAATGTAGTTGTGTGTGTATGTGTGAGTCTGTGTGTCTGTATGTCTCTGTGAGTCTCTATGGGTCTAAATGGGTGTCTATGGTGTTTCTATGGGCCTCTATAGGTGCCTCTACATCTCTGTGAGCCTCACTGGGATTTATTTGTGGGTGTCTATGGGTGTTTCTCAGTGGCGGGCCGTGTATTTTACACCTAGGCCTTCAGTGCTATCCTCCCGCAATTAAACCGCCTTCGAATAACCTCAGCATGACACTAGGGCTATAGGCCATTGGTCATTCGACATAACCACCCCATATTCACAGTTACAGTAACCTTTATCGAGTAGAATACAGTGTTTTAACACGAGGCTCGACACCTATGAGAGTTACAATACACTAATTGCAGAGACATGAATACATGGTGACTGAAACCATAAAGGATGTACCACTATTACGCAGACTGACAGTATGATGCATCACAAATAGACATCGCATAGCCCAAATCAATGTCATTACCAAAGAAACAAGAACAAACTCACAACAACCAGTCACATTTACCCATACTACCACCAAGCAAGCAAAAATGCCGTAAAACACAAATAACACAATCAGGATTCAACAGGCTTCCCCACAGAAAAAACTAAAATCTAAATCACTACATCGAAAAATCTAAACGTCACTAAAGAAAGTTTAAATAAATATTAGATGATGCTACATTATGTGCTAGCTAGTTTTACTTCAGTTAGCTAACTGGCCCTCCGATCACGCCAACCGAAAAATGCTAACGTAGGCGGTTAGGCCAGCGAGAAGGCTCCGGCGTGTCAAAGAATACGCCAAACATGGCAAACTCCAAATCTGATTAGTTAAAGAATATAATAATAATAATAAACATCGTCCCCATTTGCTTCAACAGCAGAGGGGATTCATCCGACATTCTGAAGGCCTCGGGATAAATTTTTCACCCGGAGAGGCGGAGAGCGCACAGGAAAATCTGATTGAAATGTATTAGATGCACTGGAAGCAGCACAACTGAGGGAGAGAGTAGCAATGAAATGACGTTAACAGACTGATGGGAACGAACTTTGTAAAATACGTATAGCATTAATGAAGATATATATTCAATTATAAAAATATAATCTTCTGATTCTGACAATCTCTAGGCCAGCAGAGAAGGCCTTAGTGGCCTTAATGGCCCACCTCTGGTGTCTCTATGAGTTTCTATGGGTCTCTATGCGTCTCTATGGGTGTCTCTGCATCTCCGTGTGTCTCACAGGAATGTAGTTGTTGGTCTCTATGGGTGTCTCTGTGAGGTCTCTGTAGGTCTCTATTGGTATCTCTGTGTCTCCGTGAGCCTCACAGGTTGTGGGTTTCTATGGGTGTCTATGGGTCTCTATGGGTGTATCCACATCTCTGTGTGTCTCTGCATCTCTGTGTGTCTATATATGTCTCTGTGGGTCTCTATGGGTCTCTATTGGTGTCTCTGCATCTCTGTGTGTCTCTGTGAGCCTCACAGGAATGTAGTTGTGCTCTTGGTCATCGTAGCCATGGTTCCAGATGCCGCCTCGCGACGTTTCATCCTCGCCATCGTCCAGAGTAAAGTACCAGATCTCGTCCATCGTGGTGAGTTCAAGCTTCTGGCGCTCGGTGAGGTGAGGCTCGAAGAGAGCCAGGATCGCTGCGGACATGACAACAACATCATCAACAACATCATCATCATCAACAACAACAACAGCAACAACATCATCAACAGCAACAACATCTTCAACAACAGCAACAACATCAGCAACAACAGCAACATCAATAGCAACAACAGCATCAACAACAATAGCAACGACAACGACAACAACGACAACAACATCAACAACATCAACAACAGCATCAACAGCAACAACAACAACAACAGTAACAAGAATAACAACATCCACAACAGCAACAACAATAACAAAAACAACAACATTGACAACATAAAAAACAAGATCAACAACAACTTAATCTAGAAACGAATTGTCACGTACACACACACACACACGCCGGGGTTAAGGCACCACACCACCCCACCCAAGTGGCTGGGATCATCGGCGCATGGAGACCGTAGAGTCTATGGAGTCTATAGAGACCATAGAGATCCACAGAGAACATTGAGACCATAGAGACCCATAGAGTCCATAGAGAGCCATAGAGACCCATAGAGTTCATAGAGCCCATAGAGACCATTGAGACCAAAAAGCCCCATAGAGACCATATATACTCATAGCGTCCATAGAGTCAATAGAGACCCATAGAGTCCATAGAGTCCATAGAGACCCATAGAGAACCATAGACACCCATATAGACCCAGAGACCATAGATACCACAGAGATTCATAGAGACCCACAGAGACCCATAGAGACCATAGAGACCCATAGAGAACAGAGACCCATAGAGACCCTTAGAGACCATAGAGACCCACAGAGACCCAGAGAGACCATAGAGACCCATAGAGCACATAGAGACCCATAGAGACGATAGAGACCCACAGAGACCCATACAGACCACAGAGACCCATAGAGACCATAGAGACGATACAGACCCATAGAGAGCCATAGTGACCCATAGAGATGATAGAGACCCATAGAGACCCACACAGACCCACAGAGACCCATATAGACAATAGAGACCTATAGAGACCCACAGAGACCCACAGAGACCCATATAGACAATAGAGAACTATAGAGACCCACAGAGACCCACAGAGACCCATATAGACAATAGAGACCCATAGAGACCCACAGAAACACACAGAGACCCATATAGACCCATAGATACCCTTAGAGACCATAGAGACCCACAGAGACCCATAGAGACCACAGAGACCCATAGAGCACATAGAGACAATAGAGACCCATATAGACCATAGAGACCCACAGAGACCATAGAGACCCACAGAGACCTACGCAGACCCATAGAGACCCATACTCATATAGACGCATAGAGACCCATACTCATATAGACCCACAGAGACCCAGAGAGACCTATAGAGACCCACCGAGACACACAGAGACCCATATAACCAATAGAGACCCATATAAATGAGAGACCCATAGAGACCCATACTCATATAGAAACAGAGACCCACAGAGTCGCATAGAGACCCATACTCATAGAGACCATAGAGACCCATAGAAACCCACAGATACCCATAGAGACCATATAGACCCACAGAGACCCATAGAGACAATAGAGACCCATATAGACCATAGAGACCCACAGAGACCTACGCAGACCCATAGAGACCCATACTCATATAGACCCATAGAGACCCACAGAGATACATAGAGACCCATACTCATATAGAACTATAGAGGCCCACAGAGACCCATACTATTATAGGACCATAGAGACCCAAATAGACCCATACTCTTATAGGACCATAGAGACCCACAGAGACCTATACTCATATAGAACCATAGAGGCCCATAGAGTCCCAACTCTTATAGAACCATAGAGACCCATACTCACATAGAACCATAGAGACCCTTAGAAACCCATACCTGTATAGAATTATAGAGACCTATAGAGACCCATACTAATTTATAACCATAGAGACCCATAGACACCCATACTCATAAAGAACCAAAGAGACCCACAGAGACCCATACTCATATAGAACTATAGAGACCCATACTCAGATAGAACCACAGAGACCCATACACATAGAGCCCTATGTAGATCTACAGACTCATGTAGAGTCATAGAGACCCACTGAGACCCACAGCAACCCATAGAGGCCCATACTCAGAGACCTATGGAGATCCAGAGACTCATATAGAACCATAGAAACCCACTTAGACCCACAGAGACCGGTATAGACTCGCAGAGACTCAGAGAGACCCATACTATGGGTGTCTATGGGTGTCTCTGTGGGTATCTATGGGTCTCTGTAAGTCTCTATGGGTCTGGGTCTCTGTGGTTATCTGTGGGTCTCTATGGTCTGGGTGTCTATGGGTCTCTGTGTACATACAGTTAGGGAAAAAAGTATATGATCCCCTGCTGCTTTTGTACATTTGCCTATTGACAAAGAAATGACCAGTCCGTAATTTTAATGGTAGCTTTATTTGAACAGTGACAGACAGAATAACAACAACAAAATCCAGAAAAACGCATGTCAAAAATGTTATAAATTGATTTGCATTTTAATGAGGGAAATAAGTATTTGACCCCCTCTCAATCAGAAAGATTTCTGGCTCCCAGGTGTCTTTTATACAGGTAACGAGCTGAGATTAGGAGCACACTTTTAAAGGGAGTGCTCCTAATCTCAACTTGTTACCTGTATAAAAGACACCTGTCCACAGGAGCAATCAATCAATCAGATTCCAAACTCTCCACCATGGCCAAGACCAAAGCGCTCTCCAAGGATGTCAGGGACAAGATTGTAGACCTACACAAGGCTGGCATGGGCTACAAGACCATTGCCAAGCAGCTTGGTTAGAGGGTGACAACAGTTGGTGCGATTATTCGCAAATGGAAGAAACACAAAAGAACTGTCAATCTCCCTCGGCCTGCGGCTCCATGCAAGATCTCACCTCGTGGAGTTGCAATGATCATGAGAACGTCTTCTTGGTTCTTTCGGTAAAGTCACATAGAATGGGGATAAAATAGTAATAATAAAAATGAAATAAAAATAAAAATTCTCACAACGTTTCGGAGGCAACACAAGCTTCCGTCTTCAGGTGACTGTCCACCAGGTGACTGTCCACCTGAAGACGGAAGCTTGTGTTGCCTCCGAAACGTTGTGATAATTTTTATTTTTGTTTCATTTTTATTATTATTTTATCCCCATTCTATGTGACTTTACCGAAAGAACCAAGAAGATGAATCCCTGCAGTCACGAAAGCTTTAAATCTAAATCATGAGAACGGTGAGGAATCAGCCCAGAACTACACAGGAGGATCTTGTCAATGATCTCAAGGCAGCTGGGACCATAGTCACCAAGAAAACAATTGGTAACACACTACGCCGTGAAGGACTGAAATCCTGCAGCGCCCGCAAGGTCCCCCTGCTCAAGAAAGCACATATACATTGCCGTCTGAAGTTTGCCAATGCACATCTGAATGATTCAGAGGACAACTGGGTGAAAGTGTTGTGGTCAAATGAGACCAAAATGGAGCTCTTTGGCATCAACTCAACTCGCCGTGTTTGGAGGAGGAGGAATGCTACCTATGACCCCAAGAACACCATCCCCACCGTCAAACATGGAGGTGGAAACATTATGCTTTGGGGGTGTTTTTCTGCTAAGGGGACAGGACAACTTCACCGCATCAAAGGAACGATGGACGGGGCCATGTACCATCAAATCTTGGGTGAGAACCGCCTTCCCTCAGCCAGGGCATTGAAAATGGGTCGTGGATGGGTATTCCAGCATGACAATGACCAAAAACACACGGCTAAGGCAACAAAGGAGTGGCTCAAGAAGAAGCACATTAAGGTCCTGGAGTGGCTTAGCCAGTCTCCAGACCTTAATCCCATAGAAAATCTGTGGAGGGAGCTGAAGGTTCGAGTTGCCAAACGTCAGCCTCAAAACCTTAATGACTTGGAGAAGTTTCGATTTAAAGCTTTCGTGACTGCAAGGATTCATCTTCTTTGGTTCTTTCGGTAAAGTCACGTAGAATGAGAATAAAATAATAAATTGATAAAATAAAATAACACAATAATATTCTCACGACGTTTTGGCCACAACACAAGCGGCCTTCATCAGGTGAAGGGACGAGACTGTCTGGATAAAAGCGCTGGAGTGAAAAAGCTCTGCTCAGATCGCGACTTTTAAGCTGTGTGAGAAGAAACAAAGTGCCTTGACAAAGGAATTAGCATAGAATTTAGCATTGAAATGGCTGAGTGATTAGCTTGTGACTGCTCACAGAAATGGCTATGTTAAAGTTAAAGCATACACATCCGCAGAGGCACCCCTTGACAAAGGAATTAGCATAGAATTTAGCATTGAAATAGCTAAGTTAAAGCATACACATCCGCAGAGGCACCCCTTGACAAAGGAATTAGCATAGAATTTAGCATTGAAATAGCTGAGTGATTAGCTTGTTACTGGTCACAGAAATAGCTATGTTAAAGTCAGAGCATATACATTCACAGAGGCACCTAGTACAAATCAAACAGGAGAATTTAGCATTGAAATAACTAGGTGAATTTAGCATTGAAATAACTGAGCGATTAGCTTGTGACTGGTCACAGAAATGGCTATGTTGAAGTCAAGGCCTACACATCTGAGATATTCACAGTAACTGGGTATACACTACAAAATATAATGAATACTATATAGTGAACCAATAAAAAACTAGTGTATACCCAGTTACTGTGAATAGCTCAGATGTGTAGGCCTTGACTTCAACATAGCCATTTCTGTGACCAGTCACAAGCTAATCACTCAGTTATTTCAATGCTAAATTCGCCTAGTTATTTCAATGCTAAATTCTCCTGTTTGATTTGTACTAGGTGCCTCTGTGAATGTATATGTTCTGACTTTAACATAGCTATTTCTGTGACCAGTTACAAGCTAATCACTCAGCTATTTCAATGCTAAATTCTATGCCAATTCCTTTGTCAAGGGGTGCCTCTGCGGATGTGTATGCTTTAACTTAGCTATTTCAATGCTAAATTCTATGCTAATTCCTTTGTCAAGGGGTGCCTCTGCGGATGTGTATGCTTTAACTTTAACATAGCCATTTCTGTGACCAGTCACAAGCTAATCACTCAGCCATTTCAATGCTAAATTCTATGCTAATTCCTTTGTCAAGGCGCTTTGCTTCTTCTCACACAGCTTAAAGGTCGCGATCTGAGCGTGGCTTTTTCACTCCAACGCTGTCCTCCAGACAGTCTCGTCCCTTCACCTGATGAAGGCCGCTTGTGTTGTGGCCGAAACGTCGTGAGAATATTATTGTGTTATTTTATTTTATCAATTTATGATTTTATTCTCATTCTACGTGACTTTACCGAAAGAACCAAAGAACACTTGGAGAAGATCTGCAAAGAGGAGTGGGACAAAATCCCTCCTGAGATGTGTGAAAACCTGGTGGCCAACTACAAGAAATGTCTGACCTCTGTGATTGCCAACAAGGGTTTTGCCACCAAGTACTAAGTCATGTTTTGCAGAGGGGTCAAATACTTATTTCTCTCATTAAAATGCAAATCAATTTATAACATTTTTGACATGCGTTTTTACGGATTTTTTGCTGTTATTCTGTCTCTCACTGTTCAAATAAACTTACCATTAAAATTATATACTGATCATTTCTTTGTCAGTGGGCAAACGTACAAAAGCAGCAGGGGATCAATTACTTTTTTCCCTCACTGTACGTATCCATAATAGAGGTTTTTGGGTTAGATCGCGTAAATATATAAATGTGTCGTTAAAACCCACCACCACCCGACACAGCCAACTAGTAAGGGTTGTCACGGAAACAGAACATGGCAATTCGTCACTAGTACAGCACACTCGTGTGTTGGGGAGCCAAGCCACAACATTTACAAACTGAGTATGACGTTTCACCAGTAATTACAACTAGCTGCATCAGGCAACAGCCAGATTGTGGAGAAGTCTTACTCTTTCGTTCCTTATATAGAGGCGTAGATGTGTTGACCACCCTTCTGCGCTCTTGCACAATGTGGTGGGGGGGGGGGGATTACTGAGGCAACGTACATTATGCATGTGCTTTATGCGAGCCCTTGGAACTTGTCCATCGTGTCTATTGTGTTTATGAAATAGCCCTACCAACGGTAATCCCTTTTGAAGTACGCTGCCCTTTGTAGGCATGCATTTAAATAATGTATTATTTGATGAATCGCTTCCGTGCAGCACTAAGGCAGTAGCTATCCGAACGGTTAAAGTTATTTTGATTTCTTTCAATTTCGATAGATTATCTAATTAGTCTTGGCCAGTTGGAGCTAGTTTTGCACAAAACTTCAACATGATCAAAATCAATTGAGTGTCCTTGTTGGCACGCATGTTATGCTACTGCTGACAGTTGCATTTGGGATAATTTAATATTTCTCTGACGTTCTTTTAGACTCGTGCTGATCATTCGTCCTGTTTGCCCAACATAATATTTACCATACGTGCAGTTAATCCTTTCGACACCTTCTGTTGATAGCTTCAGTAATACATCTTTTGTACCAGATATTAAATTCTGTATTTTATTTACTGTGCCAAATCTGACTCGGATGTGTTGTTTTTCCAAATATCTGGCTAGTTTATCAGTTACTCCCGCAATGTATAGTATTTTGATCGTTTTAATTACTTGGGCAGTTTCAATGCTCTTGTTATTTGATTTGGTTTTGGTATTCAATGGCCTGTTGATTTGTGCATTATTGTGACCGTTCACTTGCAGCGTTTTTTTAACATGTTGAATTTCACTTCTCAGACTGTCACCATTTGGCACTTTCTTAGCTCGATGAATGAGCATCTTGATAAGAGCAAATATCTGTGCGGGGTGATGGTTTGACTCTGCATTCAGATAGGCGTCAGTATGTGTTTTCTTTCGGTAAACACTGTGTTATTTTACCATTTCTACCTAGTCCGAGCAGAATATCCATAAATGGTAGAGTTCTATCAGCTTCCGCTTCCATGGTGAACTGGATGGATGGGTTTTGTGAGTTGAGATGATTTAGAAATGTGTTCAGTGTATTTTTGCCATGTGGCCAGACCACAAATGTGTCATCCACATATCTAAACCAAGCAGATGGTTTTAGCGTGCTTGAAGCTATTGCGTTTGTTACATACATATGTTCAACTTATTACACACCGTACGTAGCCAACCGTACTAAGGTGTGAGTCTCTGTGGGTGTCTCTATGGGTCTCTAGGGGTCTGGGTGTATGTGGGTCTACGGGTCTCTGTGGCTCTCTGTGCGTATCTGTGCATCTCTATGGCTGAATCTGTGGGTCTCTATGGCTCTATGGATGTCCCTGTGGGTGTATCTGTGGGTCTCTATGGGTCTGCATGTCTGTATGTCTATGGTTCTATGTGGGACTCTATGTGTCTGTGTGTCTTTATGAGTCTATATGTGTCTAAGGGTGTCTCCATGTGTGTATGCATCTGGGTCTCTCTGTGGGTTTCTCTATGTGTCTATGGATGTCTCTGTGTGTCTCTATGGGTGTCTCTGTGTGTCTCTGGCTTTCTATGTGTGTCTCTATGTGTCTATGAAGGTTTCTGTGTGTCTATGAGTGTGTTTCTGTGTCGATGGTCGTCTCTGTGGCTCTCTTGGTAAAGCGGTCACTGCATGGATTTTCTCTCCGGGTCTTCCGATCTATTCCCACTTTCCCCATTTAGGAATCAACAATTATCCAAGTGTGATTTGGCTGCTGCTGTGCCTTTCCACGTGACGATGATGACTATATCAGTCCACTTGCTTGAGCTGCTTTCATTTGAGCTGATATCATTTGTTTGACTTTCATGATGTTTCTGTTGCTCTTCTCTCCTTTCTCTCTCTGCTCTCTCCTCTCTGTTTCGCTTTCTCTTACCTTCAGGTGATTTGCTGCGAATTATTGCGCTACCAGAGGTCAGCGCACTCCACATATTGGCAGACGTAGGCTGACTCCTGCTCGGTTCATTTTCGCTCGTCTACACACACGTACAAAAACACACGTACACACACATTCACACTCATATAGATACGTACACACATATACAAACATACATATGCATACGTGTGGGTGGTGTTCGTATGTATGGGTGGTGTGTGTAAGTGTGGGTGGTGTTCATAAGTGTGGGTGGTGTTCCTAAGTGTGGGTGGTATTCGTAAGTGTGGGTGGTGTTCGTAAGTGTGAGTGGTGTTCGTAAGTGTGGGTGGTGTTCATAAGTGTGGGTGGTGTTGGTAAGTGTGGGTGGTATTCGTAAGTGTGGGTGGTGTTCGTAAGTGTGGGTGGTGTTCGTAAGTGTGGATGGCATTCGTAAGTGTGGGTAGTGTTCGTAAGTGTGGGTCATATTTTTAAGTGCTGGTGGTGTTCGTAAGTCGAGTGGAGGAGGCCACGCGTACCGCCATGGCGTTGATTTTCAGAGTAGCGTTGCTGTGCTGCTTAGATTTCACGGCTTCTCTGTGTGAAGAATGGTGGGGGTGGTGGAGAGATTCACAACACAGACTCACATCATCACCACAGACTCACTTCATCAACATAGACTCAGATCATCAACACAGACTCAGAAGATAAACACGGACTCACATCATCAACACGGACTCACTTTATTCATAGACTCAGATCATCAACACAGACTCACACAATCACCACAGACTCACTTTATTCATAGACTCAGATCATCAACACAGACTAACTTTATTCATAGACTCATCTCATCACCACAGACTCACACCATCACCACAGACTCACTTTATTCATAGACTCAGATCATCAACACAGACTCACTTTATTCATAGGATCACTTCATCAGCACAGCCTTACACAATAACCACAGACTCACTTTATTCATAGACTCACCTCATCACCACAGACTCACATCATCACCACAGACTCACTTTATTCATAGACTCATATAATCAACACAGACTCACTTTATTCATAGGCTCAGATCATCAACAAAAACTCACACAATCACCACAGACTCACTTTATTCATAGACTCAGATCATCAACACAGACTCACTTTATTCATAGACTCACCTCATCACCACAGGCTCACATCATCACCACAGACTCACTTTATTCATAGACTCAGATCATCAACACAGACTCACTTTATTCATAGGCTCAGATCATCAACACAGACTCACTTTATTCATAGGCTCAGGTCATCAACACAGACTCACATAATCACCGACTCACTTTATTCATAGACTCAGATCATCAGCACAGACTCACCTCATCACCACAGACTCACTTTATTCATAGACTCAGATCATCAGCACAGACTCACCTAATCACCACAGACTCACTTTATTCGTAGACTCAGATCATCACCACACACTCACACAATCACCGACTAATATTATCACCGCGGATTCAAATAATCAATACAGACTTGCATCATCAATACAGACTCACATCATCAATACAAACTCGCATCATCAATACAGACTCGCATCATTAACACAGACTCACATCATCAACACGGACTCACATCATCAACACAGACTCACATCATCAACACAGACTCACATCATTAATACAGACTAACTTCATCAACCACAGACTCACAAGATAAACACGGACTCACATAATCAACACAGCCTCGCATCATCAACAGAGACCCACATTATCAATACAGACTCACATCATCAACACGGACTCACATCATCACTACAGACTCAATTCATCAACCACAGACTCACAACATAAACACAGACTCGCATCATCAACACAGACTCACATCATCAACACGGACTCACATCATCAACACGGACTCGCATCATCAACACGGACTCACATCATCATTACAGACTCACTTCATCAACCACAGACTCACATCAACACGGACTCACATCATCAAACAGATCCACATAATCAACACGGACTCACAACATCAACTGAGAGTCACGTACTCACCTCTTCGAGTGTTATCGCTTGGATCACGACGACGATGAAGAGAGCAAGGTAAAAGGGCTGCCGCCTGCTTCGCACGCGTCCAGAGTTATGATGACGCTGCCCCGCGACGTCACGTAACCCCGCCCCCAAGTCTACTACGTAGCAGTGCCTCGCCCCGCCTACCGCCCCACCCACCGCCCCTTCTTCCGCCCCGCCCACATCCCCGCTTATCGCCCCGCCCACGGCCTCGCCCCGCCCTCTGCCCCCATCCCCCGCCGCCACTTCCGGTTTGCGAGGTGCGAGGTACCCAGTTCGGTTCCCACTCACGGTGGTCGCCGTCAGTTCAGTGGCGGTGGGGGGGTCTCCCCCCCTAGGTCGACTCAGCCTCAAATGGGTAACCCGGTGCCGTGATGTGTGGTCAACATCGCCAGCACTGGGGGACAGACAAAGGCGGCCGGGATGGCGGGCAGGCGTGGTGCTGGCCACCCACCCCCTCTGTGTGTCTGTCTGTGTGTATGTGTTCCTACGTGTGTGTCTCTGTATGTGTGCCTATGTGCCTGTGTCTCTGTGTGTCTCTGTGCGTGTCTATGTGTGTGTTTGTGTGTCTCTGTCTCTCTGTGTGTCTATCTCTGTGTGCGTGTGTCTGTGTGTGTGGGGAGCGATAGTGTCGCGGTTAGCGCTACGCTGCGCTATGAACCTGGCGACCCGGGTTCGATTCCCGCTCACGGCCAACACCAGTGACGATTATCTGAACCGGTCCCGGGCCTCCCCTAGGTCGACTCAGCCTCAAATGAGTACCTGGTGCGGTGTGTAAACATCGCCACTAGGGAGACAAAGTCGGTCGGGCGTGGTGCTGGCCACCCACCCCCTCGTGTACCGTTACGGCCTTCATAGGTGCTAACAGCACTTGCCCCTACAGTCTGTTAAGGCTACACGAGGGATATTTGTCTTTGTTGTGTCTGTAAATGATGAGTAGCGATGGTAGTCTGTACTCGAGAGAGAGAGAGATGTTGTACACGTGTCTGGAGCGTTTGTCTCCCTCGTGGCGATGTTTACGCACAGCACTCGGCACTCATTTGAGGCTGAGTCGACTTAGAGGGCGTAGAAGCGGGCCAGTGTTGGCCCCGAGTGGGAATCGAACGCGGCTCGCCGGGTTTATAGCGCAGACACATCAACACATCAACACACAAACACATCAACACACAGACACAAACACATCAACACAGACACATCAACACACAAACACATCTACACACAAACACATCAACACACAGACACATTAACACATCAATACACAAACACATCAATACACAGACACATCAACAAACAGACACATTAACACATCAATACACAAACACATCAACACACCAACACACAGACACAAACACATCAACACACAGACACATCAACACACAGACACATCAACACACAGACACATCAACACACAAACACATCAACACACAACCACACACCCCTCACCCTCCCCCATAAAATATCCCAATTACTTAAATACTTCAAGTAACTTTACTTTATTAAAACACGTCACGCGAGTCTAAGTCCAATCGTGTTTTCTGATTATTTTTAATTTATAAGTCAAATGGCTGTGCGCCTCGAGGCGCACAGCCATTTATATGACATGCTACGTAACGATGTTGTCGTGGATTGTAACGCGTTCACCATTGTTGTTGTTTTTGTTGTGGTTCTCGTGACGGGCGCGGCTCTCGCGAGATCTCGGTAACCCAGAAGGGGCGGGGTCTAAGAGACGGCAGGGCGGAAGCACGCATCAGACGGAGGAGGGAGACGGAGAAGTTGGCTGTGACATTCAGTGGCGCGGAACACGAATCACAGCTCAGCAGTGCCGTGGAGTCGAAGACGGCGACAACAGCTTTGGCGAACGAAGCCGACATCCTCTCGCTCTGCGTGGCCATGGCGAACATGACTTTCCAAGGTGCGCGCCACTATCGCACAACACAGCAGCAATAACACACAACACAAACCTATAACATACAAAACACACATCAGCATTAATGTACAACATACAGCACTGTCGCACATTTATTATAATGTAAGTTCACAAATTAATATTCTCCTCCACTGACTCAGATTTTAGTCCCCCCACCACCGTGTCCACAGAGCATGAAGTGTGCATGGAGACCCAGGCTACAGCCAGGAGTCCTCATAGAGGCCCCAGACCCCACATGTTTGAGGAGTTGTCTGGGTTCCCCGCACGTGGTGGTGGAAAGAGAGGCGAATATGCACACCATATGGGCACCTGGAAAACAAGGAATGGTGCAGGATGGACACGAGGTGATGGCGGAGGCTCTTGTAGTAGCGGAGGACGAGATGCTAGAGATGGCCGAATCCCCCGCTCCCATCGTATGAGTGGACGTGGAAATGTGAACAAGGGGGATAGGTCGGGTTCCTGCCAGCGCCGGTAAGTTTAACTGAGCGAACACTGTGCATGTGTGTGCAGAGGGGACGCGGTGATTAGGCCACTGCACTATGTACCTGGGGACCTTAGTTTGATTTCCAGCGATGGCTACATCAGTGGAGATTGATATATGAACCGGTCCCCGGGCCTGCCCAAAGTCGATTCGTACCTGCTGCATTGTGAAAACTTTAGCAGCAATGGGGCAGTGAAGGCGGCCGGGTGCGGCTGACCAAACCACCCACCCCTTTACATGCCATTTAGGCCTGAATAGGCGCTCACTGACATCACTTGCTCTTACAACCTAGGTAGGCTACAAGAGGGTTATTTACTCTATATGATCCAGAAGGCCACCACAATACTGTTTTCCCATAGCGGTGAATGAGGCTCTCACCTCAATCCTCGGAGCCCTCATCTGATTCTCCATGGTGCGCACGCCCTGGTTTTCATACAGCATCTAGAGATGTGTTCGATTTAGACACTATATACATCCATCAGTGTTTAGCTATTGCGTTCTTTTTAGAGTCGGGGCATAATTTCAGCTGGGTCTGTCTGGGTCAGTAACATTTTGACTAATAACCACAACCCGGCGCACCACATCCAGTATACATCTTGCTCTGCCTGTGGCTATTAGTCACGTTCCTATTATAGTCGACTAGCGACCTAGAATATAATGCAAACCTCGAGTGGAGCCTGGACACTGCCTCTGTCTGGGCAAAGCGCAGGTTTTTCTCATGTGCCTAATTCTTGCCCTCATCGCTGATGTTCTGTGCTGTTGTGTTTTGTTTGTGGTGCACCTGCGTTGCCACCACCAGCGGGCCCTATACGATGTCCATCTGCAAGGCGCAGCGGCAGCAGCTGCTGGTGGCCAAGCGGCGCATCTTCAAAGCCGATTCTGCGGTGCCAAGCCAATTGTGCTGGTTCGAGATCTCGGTAAATGTACTGGGGGGTGTGCAAACGTGGAGATGGAGCATCCTAGGTATCAGGTTTTGAGAAAGAAATGCCAATTATAAAAGGTTAACAGTTGCACCAAAATAATTATAGAATATAGAGACTTGTCATTTTGGTGACCCAGGTCACTCTTGGAAATGTATGCATTTAAACTTATTTCACACCATACATAGCCAACCATGCTGACCGGAGGTGCGGGAGGACAACTAAACACAAAAAGTAGTTCTAGAGAAATGAGTTGTCAATTTATATTTAAGAGTGCATAGCTCCAGTAGCTTTCTAATATTGGAAGAGCGTTCCAGAAGGCCGCAGAAGTGCATTTGAATGCGCTCGATGCAGTGACTATCTTTTTTCGATGAGCGGCCAAAAGCCACTACGAGGATGACTGGAGCTCACGTGATGGTTTATGCTCCTTGACAAGAAGTGAACACATCCTGGTATCTTGAATTCTCAACTGGTTAAACAAACTAAACTTTGACGTTGTAAAGTATCTAGTTTAAATCGGCATGCAACATTGATATATAAGAATAGATGTTAGCCTTTCTGGCAATAAAAATAGTATTATATATTCTTAGTTTTTTCGGTAAAGTCACGTTGACTTTACCGAAAAAACTAAGAATATGAATTACTGCAGTCACGAAAGCTTTAAATCAAAAATAAAAATAGTGTTAAGATGTTAAAACACCAAATTGAAACCTTTTGCAAGGAATCATGTCTGCATTAACCATATATACTTGTGAACATGGAAACAAAAAACATGCTCTGGTAGTATATGCATTGTCTTTTAAACTGATTGGTCCACACCATAGACAGCTTTCTTTAGAGCCATGCCCTCCTAAACTTGTGATGCTATGACACTTTTCCTATATGGACGCAACCATATATTTATACCTGGTTCAGTTTGTTAACATCACCAATGGGGAGACAAACACAGCTTGGTGTGGTGCTCACCACATCACCGTCTGGTGTACCTTTCCGGCCTTAATTAGTGTTCACGAAGAGCACTCGCTGCCCCCAATACTCTGTAAGCCTAAGCAGGGAGTATTTTCTGTGGTTGGTTGAGCAAACCCACTGCACTGTGGTCCCGGCTCCAGTAATCACCCTGCTGTTAGAGTGGGTATCTGAGCTTGGTCAATTTGACCTAAAATAAACGTACAGGGCCATTACGTAGACAATGTTAGCAGTGACAAAGACAGCCAGGTCTGTGTGTTACTATGCCCACTGCTGTGCCAAGTCAGCTCAGCGCGGCTCAGGCGGCGACAGGTTGTTTTTCCACTGCAAAAGCCGTGTCACTGAGTGACACGCAATGCGTGTAGATGACATGGTGATGCTGTGTCCTCACATTGTGCTTAAAATTGGTGCACCCCAACAGACCCTGTCATAGCAGCCAGTTTATGCTAATGGGGGATGCGACATGTGCGTGTTCTTTTTACAGAAATGTTTGAGCCAAAAATATGACCCTACCAACAAAGCTCTGGACTTGAAGGCGGTTAGAATTAATGAAGGTAATTGAAACAAACATTTGTGTTTTTTTTACGTTTACTTTGCACTCCTGCACATTGACAACTTGTCACAACTCAGCTTTATTATTTGAGCCGAGAATCGTTCATACTGTTTCTTTAGTCTCATTTGTTCTAGTTTATTCATCCTGTTAGCCTAAAGATATCATTGTCATGTCATTTGAACTAATATTTAATTAATTCATCCTTATGCGCATCACTCACTGTACGCATCGCGAGGGTAGGAGTTGAGTTGAATGCAACGCGTAATGAACCGTTGTGCGTCTACGGTCCCCGTCTACAACATGCACGATCACCCTCCCCCACTCCCCAGAGCTGGAGGCACGTGGTGTCGACCTGGTTTTGAACCGGAAGGACCACATGGATGGTCTGAACAAGATCATCCGAGAGAATATTCCAATGGTACGGCCTTCTCCTCTCCCCACGTGTTTTAATGCTTTGCACCTAAGGTATAGTGTTGCTGCGTTAGCTCTCTTGGTCCATTCGTCTGTAGGGCATTATTACTCTTAAAACACATTCCTGCAGAGGGAGCTGGTAGGAACGTTGCTTGCCTCGAATGATGGCTCAACGAATTGGCGGCTTATAATTTAGAGATTGTGAGCAGCCGCATACTCCAAACGCATGTTGTTGATTTTCCACGTGGAGGGAAAAATGTCGTGATGATGGCCGGACGTGGTTGGTGGCCACCCACCCCCTCGTGTGTGCCGTGGCCGCCTTCCCCACCCCGCCCCTCCCTCCCCACCCAGCCCCTCCCTCCCCACCCAGCCCCTCCCCACCCTCCCCTCTCCACCCAGCCCCACCCCTCCCATTTTTGGATGTACGACGGACGGACACAATAATCCCCTGTGGGCTGGGTGGAACCAGGAGGTTTCTACCAGTACAAAATACGTACCAAACTGCAGTATAATGTAGCATTGGAATTAGCGACTAGATTAATTAGTGCTGGATTAGAGGCGCGTCGCCACACGTGGACGTTGGTGCGTGCTTCATGGTTGCGTAGCCCCCATTTTACCAAGCGGTCATCGCCGACCATCGATTTGAGATAAAACCAAAACGAGGCACGGCACGACATTTACATTGCTGCTATTGCTGCTAAACCGTAGGTGGTGGCACTGCGCTGCGCTACGAACCTAGCGGCCCAAGCTTCTATTCCCGCTCACGGCCAAAATCAGTGACAATTATTCTGAACCGGTCCTGGGCTTCCACTAGGTCGACTCAGCCTCAAATGAGTACCTAGTGCGGTGAGTAAACATCGCCACAGGGGAGACAAAGGCGGTCGGCGTGGTGCTGGCCACCCACCCCCTCGTGTGCCATCCTGGCCTTCATAGGTGCTCGCTAACAGCACTTGCTCCTACAGTCTGTTAAGGCTATACTGGGGATCTTTGTCTTTTGCCTCCCTTAGAGGGGAGCGGTAGTGCAGTTGTTCGCACGCTGCGCTATGAATCGAGCGACCAGAGTTCGATTTCCGCTCACGGCCAACACCAGTGACGATTATCTGAACCGGTCCTGGGCCTCCTCTAGGTCGACTTAGCCTCAAATGAGTACCTAGGGCAGTGTGTAAACATCACCACTAGGGAGACAGAGGCGGTTGGCGTGGTGCTGACCACCCTTGTGTACCGTGCCGGCTTTCATAGGTGCTCGCTCACAGCACTTTCTGCAAAAGACTGTTAAGGCTATAAGAGGGACCTTTGTCTTTTCTGTGCCTCCCTTGCTTTCCACTCCCACAGATCACATCCCTGAATCTAACGTGCAATGACCTGCACCGGTTGGATGACCTGGCAAAACTTGCCCAGCACACTCCATCTCTCAAGAAGCTGAACCTCTCCACAAACAATGTGGGTGTGAGCGCCGTTCAATAAATCGCGACGCGACGCTCGCATGCCTGGTGCACCTCTGGTGCGAGCGTCGCGTTGGTTCAGATTCCTCGCCACAGCGAGTCGACCGTTCGTTACGCGATTCAATCCAAGTATCGATATACCTACTATTATATCTTATATCGTCTCCTTTTGTTTTGGTACTTGTTCATTTCCGATTCGCTTGATATTATTTTAAGCATGTATTGGGTATCAGATATGCCTTTAATTAGTGGAAACACGTAATTAATTATTTAAATGCAATGAATACACAAATGTGAAACGTACTATTGCAGTTTAGTACATCAACATGTATCACCTATGGGTGGTACCTGTTGATGTACTTTGTACAGTAGGCCTGCAACTCCGCATCAATACGTCAATTAACTTCAGTCATTGCACTCAAAACACATGCACCAAATGGTGTGTAGGAACCAGTTCTTTATTATTCATGCAAATTATATGCACGTTAAATTAGGCTAATGACACATAAGAGACAGACAAGGCAGACAACTAATTATATGGACAAAACATATTGGGCTGCATGAACAAGATAGGCAACAAGACAGTGCAGACAAGAGAGTACAGTGAGACATACGATGAGACGGTCAGTACAAATGGGACACAGTACATACTGGACAGGACAGACCACACAAACAAAATACAATTAATACAAACAAAAGACGAAACATAGCATGGACTCTTGAATTTGACCATTATGCTGAAAGGGCTAATTAATCAATTAAGTTGAGAGCTGATACATTCACTTAGAATATGTGATTGCAGTATTTGGCCTCCTTTGTTAACCCTTTTCAACGAATATTGAAGGAATTTCTGCATTGACTCTGCCCATTCGTAATGGAGGGGAATGTAACGTTCATAAAATGTGATCCAATATAAACGAAATGTTTGTATAATGTGGTGTTACTATCAAGGACACACCCAACTGAATACCGCACACCATTGATGAAAGGGTTAACCAAAAGAGATGCAAACTATAGCACAAGGGACTGTTTACAAATATGCATACACATTTTGCCGTGACAGCTGCGTGTCAGCTTTTGCACGCTAAGGCAAATGCATTCTGCAAAGCGTTACAATCCATGCATGGGCATGGATTGTAATGCATAACTTGTGGTAAGTTGCCCAGAAGCATGGCCCTTATGCCCCTAATTGTATGGAAATATCTCCCCTGCCATGCAGCTCAAAGATGTGAGGGAACTTTACCCACTGAAGGCCTTCAATTTGAAAGAGCTATGGCTGAAGGGGAATCCACTGTGCGACTCCTTCCACGACCCAAATGCCTACATCAGGTACCGCTCCTTTGTCATGAACGCGACATTGCCCGCTTACCCATTCGCCTGTCCGTCCACGTAGCTGCCCACTCAGCCAGGCACTCACTCGTCCTCATCCTTATCCACCCACTCATCTACATGGTTTATCTTTGTGGTTGCCTGTTCAACCGATGGCTCGCCCGCACGCCTACTCCCCCACCCTCCAGCTTCACCCATGCGCTCAACACCCCGCTCGCTCATGCGTTCATCCACCCGGTCACTCACACACACTCCCTTGGCCTTTTGTGTCCCATCTCTAACTGCATGTGTGTGTGTCAACAGCTTCGTGCGAAAACACTTTCCACAGCTCGTGATCCTGGTGAGTGACCCTCCACAGATGCCGGCCCTCAAGCTATCCCCACTCTCTGTGATATTTGTGTCTCCGCGCATTCCAGTTTCCCCATACGTGCAAAAGTGCTTGTGATCAGAGGATTTTGCCAAATGCACCAAGTAAAACACTTCTGAAGGTCATCATTACCTGCCTTGGTCAAACTACTGCTGGATGAATACCTCCCCTAAGCCATTGAAATTTCTCATGATTGCGAAATTGTAATAACCCACCTAGCACCTGCCCATGAACAACTGTTAGATGGGTTCCATCTCATTGCTGCATTCTTGATCATCAGCCATTAACCCTTATAATGACGTGTCCTGCCCGAGCCCACTTAAGTTTCTTAACTGTTTGTATAAGAGTTCACTTAAGAAAAGGTTACGTGCAGTTTACAGATGACACAGAGGAACATGAGCAGCTGTTAAATGTCATTATCTGTTTTTTGTTTTTGTCCTGCTGGCGGTTATCAACATCATCACTTATTGCTTCAATCATCTATCTCTAACACCATCTTTGACTATCTTCGTCACACATCTACCATCATTACCACAATCATCACTATCATCATCATTGCCACAAACACCACCACTATTGCCGTCATCTTCATCCTGACCGCCAACATCATAATGTAATTTCATCATCACCATGATCCCTTTCACCATAACTACTACTACCACAACAATCATTACCATCTTTACCATTATCTTCATCACCACGACTACTGTTACCATAATCATGCTCACCACTATAATCAATCACAATCATTATCGCCATGATCTATACCACTTTTTACAACCACTACCTTCACCATTGTCACCATCAGGATGGGCAGATGCTTACGCAGCTGCGAAGTTCTACGCCTGCGGTGCCCTCCACGCCTGCGGTGGTGCACAGAATTGCGGTACGCTTCGCTGCAACAATGAGCAATATTTATTCTCCCAACTTTTCGAGGGCCATGCGGCTCTTTGGCCACAACCCTGGCATTACTCCTACCACTTCCCATCCTCCATTTTGTCCACAGCCAGATGAAAGGAACAATATTTATTTTAAAATTATTATTATTAGAGGTTTAACGTATGCTTGAAATGGCTTAAGCATATACCAAGCTCTAATCAATCATTTGTTTACATATCCACCATTTTATTTTACAAAACATTGGCAAAAACTTAAACTTAATCAGCAGCAACTTAACAGTTGCACCTCTTGTGCACTGACTTTGTGACATTATGACTGTTTCCGAAGTCGGCCAACATCAAAGCGTGCAGCTCCCATAGGAAAGCGAGCAAAGCGGCACAATGTAAGGGGCTTACATGACCCACTTGGAGCGGCGTCGCCCATTCAGTCTGCCATGGGATCCAGGCCAGGCCTAGCTATCTGGTTGGCAAACTGGGTAGTCATGTTGACGTCTCTCCTGTGTGCGTGCGCGCCCACTCTCGGGTGGCTGCAGGAGAACAGCTGGCAGTTCCAGCAGTGTGCGAACACCCTCATGGAACTGAACGTGAGTGCCGTCCCATCCGCACCGTTTATGGACACGACTGATAGCAAACGGTCGGGCACATTCGCGTTTGACGAGCATCACTAACGATACCGCCCATCTCCCCTTCTATTCCACCCCTCTCTCTCCCCCCTTCCCTCATCACTGTCGCCGTCCGGCTCGGATCTCCGAAAACCACGGTCGCCTACCTTCATCGTTCCTTTTCGTCCGACTACCGGACGGATTCCACGGGAGGCGTTCGTACAGTGAGCAGGCGTCCGCCGCAGATTGCTGGCGATCTCGGCACACGTTCTCCTACCAACCCTTTCCTCCACAACCCTTGTACTTTGTAATTTATTTGTTTTTACCCCATTTTGGGGGAGAGGAAAAAAATAAAAAAATAACTATATTTGAAACTGTGTCCTCAAACTCACGACACACTAACACCTTGTACCCTGGTTGTTATTTCCCCCCACCTATAACCATGACATCACAGGACGCTGGCATGACGCAATGGTTGGTACACAATCCAGAAGTCGCTAGTTTGATCTGTTATCGTGGTAATCAATGGAAACGTTTCTTAAATCCATCCGGCTTATGTCCACACAACCGATATGCTTGCGTGGATAAACAATTGGAAGAACGCAAACATCCCAAGAAGCGCCTCATTGTGGATCAAACCATCAGGAAGCTCACTGGCCCCCCACCACCGCAAGCAGTGGGACTCCATACATCAGATCCAACCTGGCCATGGCAGGAGAAATTTCCTCCACAAATTGAAAAAAAAAGTGTCACCAAAATGCCACTGCAGGGCACCGCAACAGTGGAACACGTGCACACACCAGGAAGCTCTCTTGACCTGGTGAAGACCTCCAATACCAATAAGAGACCACGGTCTTGGGTTATTCTTTGTGCTTTTGGGGTCCCTGACTCTGTTCACAATCATTAAGGACCATTATGGTGGGAAGGCCCGTGTAAACCTACGGACCCGAGTGTCAGAGCCATTTCCTCCTGTTTACCGTGGGGCGCGACGGGGATGTCATCTGGGTCCGATACTATTTCACATAATTCCCGGTCATGGCCAATAGCAGTGGTAAATTATATTTGAACCGGCCCTACTCCTCCCCTAAGTCGACTCAACCTTAAATGAATACCTGGTGTGGTTGGTAAAAATCAGCGCTGGGGAAACAAAGACGTTTCTGGCAATAACACCCCAGCATGACAAGTTTGCGTCTGACTGGCAGTTTCTAAGCACAAACCACTGTATAAAGTACAGACTATATGCATCTGACATTATATTCTCAGCATTGATGCGTTTATGTTTATAAGCAGTGTTTAGTAATAATTTTTAAAGAACCTCAAAATATTCAACTTAATTTTCGTTCACACGGTGAAAAACAAATGCAGTGCTGCTCAGCGGATTCAGAGTGAGACAACTGCAGCCAAACTGGAGTTGGTTAGAAGCACACTGCCCAGGTACGGAAACTTGTCTACTTTCTGTACTATTGCCCCATCACTCACACGATGACAAACATCCCCCCTATAGCCTTAACAGACTGTTGGGGCAGGTGGTGTTAGCGAGCACCTATTAAGGCTGGCATGGTACGCGATGGGGTAGATGGCCAGCACCATGCCCAACTGCCTTTGTCTCCCAAATGGCGTTGTTTACACACCGCACTAGGTACTCATTTGAGGCTGAGTCGACCTTGGGGAGGCCCAGGACCGTTTCAGATAATCCTGACTGGTGTTGACCTTGAGCAGGAATCAAACTCAGGTCACCGGGTCTGTCGCGCTGCGCGCTAAATACGTATCATCATCATCACTGATATGGATAGGTGAGTCGATAGAAATGACATTTAATTCAACAGTTAATGGGCCAATTAACCAGTAGTTAATTAAATATGGGAGCAGTGGTTTACACACTGAAATATTAATTTGGGGACCCGAGTTTGAACCCAGCAATGTGACGGAGACATCGAGCGACGGAGACGAGACAGAGACATCGAGCGACGGAGAGAGACGGAGACATCGAGCGATGGAGAGAGACGGAGACATCGAGCATCGAAGAGAGACGGAGACATCGAGCGACGGAGAGACAGACATTGAGCGACGGACAGAGACGGAGACATCGAGCGACGGAGACGAGACGGAGACAGCGAGCGACGGAGACATCGAGAGACGGAGACATCGAGCGACGGAGACATCGAGAGACGGAGACATCGAGAGACGGAGAGAGACGAAAACAGCGAGTGACGGAGAGAGACGGAGACAGCGAGCGACGGAGACATCGAGAGACAGAGACATCGAGCGACGGAGACAGCGAGCGACGGAGATAGACGGAGACAGCGAGCGACGGAGACAGCGAGCGACGGAGATAAGACGGAGACATCGAGCGACGGAGACATCGAGCGACGGAGACACCGAGAGACGGAGACATTGAGAGACGGAGAGAAACGGAGACAGCGAGCGACGGAGAGAGACGGAGACAGCGAGCGACGGAGAGAGACGGAGACAGCGAGTGACGGAGAGAGACAGCGAGCGACGGAGACGAAGACAGCGAGCGACGGAGAGAGACGGAGACAGCGAGCGACGGAGAGAGACGGAGACAGCGAGCGACGGAGAGAGACGGAGACAGCGAGCGACGGAGAGAGACGGAGACAGCGAGAGACGGAGAGAGACGGAGACAGCGAGAGACGGAGACAGCGAGCGACGGAGAGAGACGGAGACAGCAAGCGACGGAGAGAGACGGAGACAGCGAGCGACGGAAAGAGACGGAGACATCGAGCACGGAGGGAGACGGAGACATCGAGCGACGGAGGGAGACGGAGACATCGAGCGACGGACAGAGACGGAGACAGCAAGCGAAGGAGAGAGACGGAGACAGCGAGCGACGGAGAGGGACGGAGACAGCGAGCGCCGGAGAGGGACGGAGACAGCGAGCGACGGAGAGAGACGGAGACAGCGAGCGACGGAGAGGGACGGAGACAGCGAGCGCCGGAGAGGGACGGAGACAGCGAGCGACGGAGAGGGACGGAGACAGCGAGCGCCGGAGAGGGACGGAGACAGCGAGCGACGGAGAGAGACGGAGACAGCGAGCGACGGAGAGAGACTGAGACAGCGAGCGACGGAGAGAGACGGAGCCAGCGAGCGACGGAGAGAGACGGAGACAGCGAGCGATGAAGAGAGACAGGGACGACACAAAGGGACAGTGAGGGATAGGGGAAGGAAGCGGAGTGAGCGAGACGGGCAGAGCGCGGCGAGCGAGCTGCGGCTAAGCGGAATGACGGAGTCACAGACGTACTGTGAAGAGTTGTAATACAAGATGTGTCGGAGAAAACAAGAAAGTTGTTCGCGTCAAGTCGACCACTACAAATATAACCAACACTACCAAGACTGCCCACCCTGTTGGAGGCGACGGCCCATTATCACCATTAACATCACTACCATCATCAACATCACCAACATAATTAACTATCATCACTGCCATTACCGTCATTAACATCACCAACGTATTTAACACCATCAGTAACAGACATAGCATCACCATCATCACCAGCACCATCACTCAGCTCACTATACAGGGGGGATGTACCGGTTCCAACATCATGTGGACGTGTGAGGTGGTGTGATGAGGTGTGACAAGGCGTGTGGATGTGTGAGGTGTGTGGATGAGCGAGGGGGTGAGAGAAGATAGAATCAGGGTATATGGAGGGGCGTGAAGGTCTGGAGATGAGGGGCGTGAAAGTGTGAAGAGCGGTGTGGTGTGTCGTGGTGGCGGTGGTGTGTGGTGGTTTGTCGTGGTGCGTGGTGGTGATGGTGGTGGTGCGTGGTGGTGTGGTGGTGTGTAGTGATGCGTGGTGGTGATGGTGGTGTGTAGTGGTGGTGGTGTGTGGTGGTGCGTGGTGGTGTGTGGTGGTGTGTAGTGGTGGTGTGTAGTGGTGGTGTGTGGTGGTGTGTCGTGGTGCGTGGTGGGGCGTGGTGGTGGGTGGTGGCGTGTGGTGGCGTGTAGTGGCGCGTGGTGGTGCGTGGTGGTGCGTGGTGGTGTGTGGTGCGTGGTGGTGTGAGGTGTGTGGTGGTGTGTAGTGGTGGTGGTGTGTGGTGGTGCGTGTTGGTGCGTGGTGGTGTGGTGGTGCGTGGTGGTGTGAGGTGTGTGGTGGTGTGTAGTGGTGGTGGTGCGTGGTGGTGCGTGGTGGTGTGTGGTGATGGTGGTGTGTGGTGGTGTGTGGTGGTGCGTGGTGGTGTGTGGTGGTGGTGTGAGGAGGTTGAGGAGGTATGAGGAGTAGTCCACGTCGCGCTGCTCGTTGATGACGTCGAGCGTTGCCGTCTGGCTGTGCCGCTGGTTGCAGAGCGAGCAGCTGGGCGTGCGGCACCAGGAGGAGGATCAGTTCACGTGTCTCCTCCTCCTGCTCCTCCTCCTCACCGTGCTCCAAGCAGCGCGGCTCCGCGTCCTTGCGGCCGCCGGGGCCCCTGGGGGCACCGCCACCACCACAACAACGACGACGACGAAACA